GGTGGGTCTCTGAGTGGGGACACTAACCAAGTCAGGGGCTGGCCAGGGCCGTCCTGCAGGTGAGGCCTCATGAAGGGCGAGGGTGTCCAGGAGCCTGAGAGGTGTTCCCAGCTCTGCTGATAGCTCTGAGCAGAGAGCCGGGCTCTGGATGAGGCCAGCTGGGCCCCTGCGGGTCCTGCTCCAAGCTGTTTGGCCTGAGTGTCTTATCTTTCCTGCCTCACAGGCTTGTGGGGAATGGAAGGGGCTTGACAAATGGACAGAATTTGTGTACCTGAGGGTTTGTCCTGGCAGTGTCATGACTGTCATCCCTGTCACCCTGCTTTTGCCCCCCCCCACATCCTGTCATTCAGCAAGTCCCCAAGAGGTCACCCTAGTGCTTTGGCCCTTCGATGCCCTCCTGCCTGTCACTTCCTCTGCTCCCATGTCATCTCACCAGAGAGGCTACCCTGACTTCCCCACACGGAGCAGCTGAGCCTGGCTCCCCTACTTTCTTTCCCTGGAGACATGGGTCACCCCTGACCTGCAGGAGGGTTTCTGGCCATTGCTGGGTGCCAGAGTCTCGCACTGTGTAGCACTCCCTGAACATTTTGTTGCTGTTTTTATTGTGGTGAAATAACACCCCACAGAACATTCACTGTCTTGACCAATTGTGAGCATTCCGTGCTGCGGCATGAAGCGTGGTCGCCAGATTGCGCAGCGTCCACACCATCCACCTCCACAGCTTTTGTCATCTTGCAAAACAGAAAACAGTAACTCCCCATTCTGCTCCCCACCCCCCGCCCCTGTCACCCGCTATTCTAGTACTTTCTGTCTCTAAGAATTCGCTTACCCATCCATCCACGGACATGGCGTGGCTCCCACCAATTGGCTCTCCTGAGTAATCTCTTCCTGCTTTCAGTTCTCCCAGGTATGCAGTGAGAAGAGGAACTGCTGGCTCTTATGGTTATTCTACTTTTCATGTTTTGAGGGGCTGGCATACTGCTTTCCACCATTTTACATTTCCCACCAGCAGGGCACCAAGGTGCCAATTTCTCCACAGCCTCACCAGCACTTAATATTTTCAATAGTAGCCAACCTAGTGGGTGTGAGGACAAAACACTTCACACAAATAAAAAATATGTTCCCTGCTTCCTCCTACCCCCTCCCCTTGGACCTCATTTTCTCTCATACCTTATTCGTGCTTGTCTCTAGTCTCTTCACCACTGTCCACACCCTAAGTCTGGAATGTGGCTGCTGGGTGCCCACCCCGCGCACCCCCGTCCCCCAGCTTTAAGATGCAACCCTGACATCTCCTTCCTGCCCCAGGGTCCCTGCCCCGCTAGGTCCATCACTGCCTTCACGCTGCCTGGGGCTCGGCCTGTTGTGCTGTACCGTTTGCCAAGTGGCTGTCACCATCCTGTCCATCCCTCCCCTGTCTCTGGAGGGTTGGGACGCTGCCTGCTGAGTCTTGTATCCTCTGGGTACCCTCCAGGCTCAGGTGGGCTGGGGAAGGCCTAGGGAACCCCCAGCCTAGAGCCTGGTGGCAGCTGTTCCAGTTGCAGAGGAAGGTGAGGTGAGTGTGGTCAGGGGGCTACCTGCCTGGCCAGGGGTTTGGACGTGAGGCTGGGAGGGAGGGAAAAGCTGAGAGTTGATCTCATCAGCAGTACCTCTGAGCCTTTCAGGTATGGTTCCCTCCACTTTAGCTCACTCCTCATGTCTCCTGGAAATCTCCCACCCCTCTCCCTGCACCCACTACATGCTGCTTCCATTGTCTAGTGCACGCTCCATCACAACCCCCATCGCTGCAGGCTGTGCCTACGGCTTCACTGGCCATGGCCCTGTCTGTTTAATCCATTGCTATTCTCCCCACGGGCCAGTGCAGTGCCAGGCAGGCTGTATCTTAGGGGAGACAGAACATATAAATTGCTCTGAAAGCTTCTCAGCATGAGCCTGGGACCAGAGCAGGTGTGATGGCAATTCCCATTTTACAGATGAGGAAACAGCGTCTTCCCCAACAGCCTTCAGAGCTAGACCTCACCCAGCTCCCTTGTTCCTTACAAGGGTTCCTTGTAAGGGAGCAGCCCCCATGGGCAGAGGTTGGACTGTCTTGCTTGAGGTGCATCACAGGTGTGAAATACAGAGGGCTTCGGGAGCCAGACAGCAGAGGAGAAGGGAGATAAAGCAAGATCCTCAATCTGGGCCTCCCCTGGTGGCACAGGCAGTTGAGCGCAGCGCTGTGAAGCTGTCCGCAGCCTCTGTAGTGCGGGTTTGATCCCGGCCGGCTGGCGAGGGTCCCACATGGCGCGGCAGACCTCTCCTGTGTCTCCCACTATTCCTCTCAGCAGTGTATTTTGTCAGTCTGCCTGTTCTGTTCCCCGCTCTGTCTCTGGTGAATCCTCTCACCCTCCCGCACATCTGGCCTGTACCCTGGTTCTCGCATAAATAAATAAATAAATCTTAAAAAAAAAAAAAAAAAAGAGCCTCAATCTAAGCTGGAGGGTGGAGGAGCGGCCTTGGACACTGCCCAGCTTTGCTGTTCTCCCTGCGTCCTCCTCTGTCTCTGGGCAGGTCTTCCTCTGTCTCCTCTCCTCTGTATTTGGAACCTGCTCTCCATGCTCAACCTTGGCTACATGTCAGCATCATATAGGGTCCTTAAAAATATCCATGCTCAGATCCCATCCCAAAGAGACAGATTTAGATGACCAGTGGGGGCTGGGTTTTAATCTTTTGTAAAAATCTCCAGGGGAGTCAAATGCACCAACTGGGAAGGAGATCCTATTTCCTGGGCCTTGTAAGCTGCAGGACCTGGATCAGGCTTGACCATTGTACGCCGGTCAAGCATTTCAGAGAAGAGGGATCTGGGATTCTCCCTGAGGGGTTTAACCAGGGAAAGAATTGCTGACCGTTGCTGTCACATTCTTGGCTCAAGAATTTGGGAGCCATTTAGTTGAGTGATTCTGGCCATAGGGCCTGTGGGAGGTTGCAGAGACTGGCTGGGCTGTGTTCATCTGAAGGCTTGACTGGGGCTGGGGGATTTGCTTCCAGTGTGGTTGACTCACATGGTTGGTGCATGGTTTGGCTGTTGGTAGGAGGCCTCAGTTCCGGCCTCTCTGTGGGGTTGCTTGAGTGTCCCCATGATGTGGTGTATGGCTTCCCCTGCAGGAGGCAGATCCAGCGAGCAAGGCAGAAGCCACCATGTGTTTTCAACTTGGTTTCAGAAGCCAACCTCCATCATTTCTATGACATACTATGAATTACCCAGGTTAGCCTGGGAAGGGGGCCTCCTGCAGCATGTGCCCCAGGAGGCAAGGATCATTATGGGCCACCTTAGAGGCTGGTGACCATCCTGTTATAGCACGTGCAACCTCACAGCCCTTCTCTGGGAGGTCGGAGCACCTGTAGCATGTGGGGAGTCCTTCCCTCCTTACCTCTATCTCTCCCCTGTCATCAGACCATAGTTTCCTGTGGGGTACAGTGGTTGTCTTTGAGGCCTGGAGGTCATGCTCTGTAGTCAGCATGCAGGAGGGCCTGTGACCTCTCTACCGGCTAACTTCCCCACCTGTCTGGTCTCTAGGCCCAGCCTTCCCTGCGGTGACCCCATTTGTGTGCAGACCAGGTCTGTAGGAAATATCAGAATGCTTGCCACAGTGTTTCAGGGCTGAGCCTTGTCACCCTTAGCCCTCGAAGGCAGGTGCTCTTTATCCCCAGGCTGCCGATAGGAAAGCCAAGGCTCAGGTCACTCACCAAGTGGTGCAGATTCAAGCCACTGGTATTGAAAAACAAGCCTCTGACCCCTGTAAGGAAACCATGGTGCTCCCGGGTGTCCTCAGGGGAGGGTTCTATTTATCAAGCTGGGTCATCAAGTGATACTGTCAAGTGAGCATAATGAAGTGTGGTTTTGTGATTGTGTTTGTGTGAGTGTGAGAGAGAGCGGAGAGGAGGGGAGAGGGGAGAAGAGGAAAGAGAGGAGAGGGAGCCGTGTCACTTCCTTTGGTTCCCCAGGGGGCTATGGTGACTTGGGTGCCTCAGAACTGGGCTGTTACCTTAGTCTTGAGGTTGGTTTTCTCTCTCCAGAGTCAGCCCTTGTAGGAGAGTGACAGCAAGCCTCTCTCCCACCTGCCTTCCCCATGGTCCCGCCTGCCATCACCGAGGGCGGTCTCACACCTGCATTGTCACCAGGACAGCTGTCAGCAGCTGTGGTCTGTTAGTATTCATGCTTGATGACTTCCCAGAGTGTGGTTTAGCCTTGAGGTGTCAGAGGGAGGGAATTGAGGCCATGGGGACTTATCCTAAGGGCTGTCAAAGAGAGCTGCAGTGAAACTTGTGCCTTTGGGACTTTGCTGGGGACATAGGCCGGCTAGTAGGGTCTGGGGACAGGACTAGTCCCACTCAGGGGAGGGGTGATTATTCCCATTTTACAGATGGAGAAACGGAGGCTCAAGTGCTAGTAGGCTCTCCCAACACCCCACTGGTTAGGGGCAGAGGCTGCTGTCTGGCAAATTTAAATTTCTTCAGGAGCATCCAGAAGTGGCAGTCATGCCAGATGCCTGGCCTCTCTGGGCTGCAGGCATGAGGATCTGGGCTCTGAAGGGGAGAATGTGGCCCTGCCTCCAGAGAGGAGACTACTTACCTGGCCAGACGCACAAACACACACAAACTCTCTCTGTCTCTGTCTCTGTCTCTGTCTCTGTCTCTGTCTCTGTCTCTCTCTCTCTCTCTCTCTCTCTCTCTCTCTCACACACACACACACACACACACACACACGAGAGAGAGCAGGGCATGAGGTGTGAGGAGCTGGGGCTGGAGACGGAAGCTAAGCTGGCAAGGCTGGCCTGGATATTGAAAGTTTCCTTGGAGCTGTTTTGAAGCGCTCATGACCAGTCCTGGATCTGTTGGGCTTCAGCACGGTCCGCTCATTTTTGCTGAAGGTGGGATCTGGGTAGGGTAGGGTAGGGTAGGGCAGGGCAGGTAGGGTAGGGTAGGGTAGGGTAGGGTCAGGTCCTGGCCTACCTCCACTTTTGTTTCTCCACTGCACACTCACCAAGGCTGCCAGCTGAGTTTTGTGCCCGTCAGAAAGACCTGCCCTGTCTCAGTCTCCTCACCAGTCTGCTTTCCCTTCCTCTGTGCCCAGTGAGGCTTCCAGCCTAGTCTCAGGGCCAGTCCCTGCCAGCAGCTGGGAGCTGGGGTTCTGGAACACTCTACCTAGGTCTAGCCTGCCTTGCAGACATCGAGGGGAACATAAATTGTGCAGCATGCCCTCTTCCGGTCCACCGGTGCTGTGTGGGCCATGCCTTTGGCTGTGACCCCCAAATGGCAAATTCAGGGCTGTCCGTCCCCATGTAGCACAGCTCCTCAATTCTCTTCTGAAAAGACAACACCTTTAACAGTTGTGCTTTTAGGGACATTACTTAACTGCTTGTGGGGAAATGTGGGCAAGAAGGATATTCATTGTGCTTCAAGAGAAGTGTAAATGCCAAGAAGGAAGATGGGGGGCCCCCCAGAGCCCCTTGTTGGCCTGTGAGGGTCAGAGAACGTTGCTGTGGGAGGGCACTGCAGAATGAGTCCCTGCGCCTGCTCCATTTTATGAGCGTGGGGTTGGCTAATGAGCCTCTTGGGGTTGGTCTCTGATCCTCCCCACCCCTTAGATGGTCAGGCTGAGTCAGTATTGGGGGTCAGGGTGAGTCAGGGTTGTGGGTCAGTCAAGCAGGCTGTGCGCAGTCTGACTGATGTCAGGGTCAACGACCAGTCTGCTCTTAGGGTTGGGGCCAACCCTGTTAGAAGTTGGGGTCTGAGCTCAGATGAAGACCGGGGTTCTTCCATGAGTACAATGGAACTTGGGGCCCTCAGACAGTTGGATCCCATCTACTCTTGTGTCTTTGGGGATCTTCCTGCTTTTACTTTTCCTCTGAGGTGGCTTTGGCAGGTAACCACACTTTTTACCTGTGCTATCTCGTTTAATTCTAGCAGCTCTAGCAGGTAGCTGTACCTGTGCCCACTGGGAAAGCTTGAAGTTAAAGGAGGCAGTTGAGCACCAGATGGGGCTTACACAGTGTCCAGGAGGAGGGGTACAGGTGCTGTGTCCCCGGGGCAAGTTCAGAGGTACTGTCAGGTGGACCCAGAGAAGGGAAGACCTGGTCTAGGATCACCTGGTGAGGGAGAGACTGAGCTGGGCCTGGCCGTGCTCTCTCCCTTCCTCTTTGTCTCAGGCTCCCAGGCTGTCCTGGCCCCCGCCCCACTCAACCCCTCTCGCCCCACCCTGTGGCTGGCCAGGCCAGGCTCAGCGATCTGCCTCTTTCACTTCCTGGCTGGCTGGCCCCAGTGAGGAGGGCTGGGGAGGGTCTGGCTGGGAGGAGTTCAGGTCCAGTCCCTCCCTGGAGTTGAGGGTGGGAGGAGCCTGGCCCGCAGACACAGAGCCCCTTTGTCTGGGCCTCAGTGCAAAGCAGCTGGTCTGGGATTTCTGGGCGTTTTTAACATTTGAAGAATAATTGCATTGTCTGGGGGGCCCTCAAGAATCCAAATCCCTCCCCAGACCTGCCAGCCTGTCCAGAGAGATTCCCCTGGACTAGCACCCCCAGATTCCCCTCTTCTCCCTCCCCTTCTATTAGAAGCCTGAGACAGAGCTGGGTCCCTCCAGGGAAACTGAGGTAGGGCTGCTGTCCTCAACACTAGGAGTATCTCTTGGGAGGAGACACTTGTAAGTCCCCAGCGTTGACTGGGGAGGCTGAAGTCCCCAGAGCCCTGGACAGGGCTCACATGAACAAACAGGCTCAGGATGGGGGAGAAACCTGGAGGTTGGAAAGGGAGGGCCCACGGTGGGGTGTTTGTGCTGGTTGGATTGGCCCTGTGGGGTGAGGGGAACTGGTGGACTCACTGCCTGGGCCACTTTCCTCCTGCAAAAGGGTTGTTCTTCCTGGGGTGAGTTTGTGTGGACAGGCAGACAGACACATTTGGGAACAGCCTGTGTTCTGTGGGGAACAAGGAGGGTAGACATTTTTCTAGTGAGGGGCGACTTTGGAAGGGTGTCGTCACCTGGGAAGCTGGCCCCTGGTGGCATCCTTGTGTCGTAGTGGCCACTGTCGGGGAGGCGAGTGACCTGCTGATTGCTGGCTGAGCTGACAGGCTCTGACACCGAGGAGGACGGGGTGCCTCCTGAGCTGAGCTGGGCCGCTGACCCTCCCAGGTCTACCCAAGGGCTGGGCTGAGCTCTTGTTGGGGGTGTGTGTCTCCAGTCTAGCCTGGGCCCTCAGCCCTGCTCAGTAATGGTGGGATAGGAGCCTCACTCCTGATTAACAGGCACCCGTATTTCCTAGGGTGAGATGTCCCTGTTTTGTGGGGCAGGAGAGGGTGTCACAGAGCAGGCCTTGCTGGTGGCTTAAGCACCGCATAGCTGTGCAGTCACATAGCTGCACAACCACAGTGCCCGCACAACCACAGTACCTGCACAAGTGTGCACATGTTAAGAGAACCCAGAGCCAGCTTCTCTGACATGTGTGAGGTGGGGCTGTTTCTCACAGGCCAGCAGGTGGGCCACTGGGGATACCCAAGACTTTGGTGAAGTTGGTGTATGTATATATGTTTGTGTGTTTGTGTGTGTGTGTGGGGGGGGGTGCATGAGACTTACAGCCAGAAAGGCCAGCTAGGTCTTGGGGTGGTGGGGAGGTCAAGGGCTACTGTGCTGAGACCTCCCCCAGGCCTGTTCCATAGCAGATTCTCGTAAATTGTTAGATTTTATTTCAGGTCCATGAATGGCCTGGGCCAAGCTTGTCTTTGAGGGCACTTGAGGTGGGCCTGGCAGTTCAGTAGGGGTGCAGTTCAGATGGGGGAGCAGACCTGTGAAGTTGGGGCTATAGTGACAGTTTTACCAGCTGTGGGGTCGACATGACTTGACCTGATGGATCAGGGAGGGTCTTTCACTGAGGACCTTCCAGCTTTGAGCCTTGGGAGTGCCCGATGCCCCAGCTGTCTTAACCACTACAAGGAAAGTGCAAGAGGTGCCAGGTGCCCCCTGCTCAGTTGTGGGCATTTCTGAGAGGGCCTGAGCAGGGTCAGATATTGGTGACGGGGGCTGAAACATGCCTGTGCTATGTGCTGAAGAGGCAACACTTCTTGGAGGGTAAACTTCCAAAAGTGACAAAATGAACTGGTGAGGAAGTTCGGAGAAGGGGGTGAGGAAGCGGCAGGGGCCACGGGCCTGGCTGCTGGTGCCCCTCCCCAGCCTCTGGCCTCCTTCTCTGGTGCCGCCACCATGAAGTCTTTCTTCTTTCTCTCCCTCTCCTGCTGCTGCCTTACTCTCCACTTTGGCTTCTCGGGCAGTTTCCATCAGGGGGGTGTGGGCCCTGGGCCGCAGGGGGAGGTGGTGCTGCAGGCGGGAGGAGTGGGGGAGGCAGCAGGGCATCTTGAATGGAGCTGGGACACTCATGCCAGGGCTGGCCCGATTTCTTGAAGCTACCAGGCTTGGGGACACGGGGCCCCCAGGCGCCATTCCCCTTTTGCCATGGAAGCAGGAGCAACAAGGCAAGTGTCTGCTGCCCTGTGCCTCCCCCCTCGCCTGCTCCTCCTCCCTGCCTGGCTGAGCCAGCACTTTTTTCTTTTCTCCTTTATCTGCTCGAAAAGTACAGGGTGTTCTGTTTCTCCTGTGCATACAGATCAAGAAGCGGATGTTATTTATTTATTTCTTTCCCGACTTTCCCAAAGCCTCGAGGAGGACAGGCGGGCACCGGGGAGTAGTTAGTGATTCTGCCTCCTCGATAGAGCATGTTCTCATAAAAATGAAGGAAAAAAATCTAAGAGGAAAAGATGACACAAACCAACAGAAAATGAGTTACTTCCTGCTGCGGTTGAGGTAGCAGCACCTGAAGGTCCAGACAGCCCGTCCCTGCAGGCCCAGCACACAGTAGGTGTTTCTGTGTGTGGGTTTCTCTGCCTTTCAGTTTGGACGCCAGGGTGTGTTGACGCCACAGTCCAGTAGGGGGGCCCCTGAGGCGGACTCCTCGCCTCTCTGCCCTCTGTGGGCTGCTTGTGAGGTTCCTCTCAGCCACCTGTGACAAGGCTGGTGGCAGGACAGGACTGTGGGGTTCACTGTGAGGGGCAGGGTCCAGTGACCTACCCGCTCACTGTTGCCACCCTGGCACCCTACTAGTGCCTGTCTGTCCGAATTCAGTGTCTGGTATGTGGAGAAGTTGGGGTTCTGTGTTCACCTTAGAGGGGCACTGCCCACCTGCCCCCCCTCCCCCCTCCACTCAGGAGCCAGGTTCCAGAGTCTGCTCGTAACTGACTACAGAACTTTACAAACGATTTTTACACATGAGCTTCAGGGAAATGCTACAGTCTTGTGACCCCTACACGGGGCCTTATTTGGCTGCCACGGTGAGGTAATGAGGGCAGGCTGGCGACGCACGGAGAAGGAAAGAGGCGGGATGTTCAGGTCGCTGGCGGGGAAGGCACACAGCTTCCTGGGCAGCAGCCTGTGTGGTTCCCGGACTGGCTTTTTGAAGCGGTGTCTCGGGGAACCTGGGGCTTCTGTGATTTTCCGGAGTGAGCCGGACCCCTGGTTGCACCCCAGTCACCCCCGGGCCTGAAAGTTTTCCAAGAAGGGGTTCACCTGGAAGGTTTGAGACGTGCAGCGATCATATCCCTTTATTGTATAAAAGCTTGCTTTGGGGGGTGGCCTGGGCCCGGCGCTGGGGCGGAGGCCCAGAGCCCCGCAGGCCCGGGTCCCCGTACGGGGAGGCCGGGGCGCGGGGGCGGGGCGGGCAGCAGCGCCACGTGGCGCCGCGGGGGCTGGGCAGCGGCGGCTCGCGCGGGCGGGTGTTTGCAAAGCTGACCCGAGCCCCTGCTCCGGGGTATCCACGACCCTTCATCACCTTAGCTGCGGGGTGCAAGCAGCCGCACCCTCACCTCTGTACTCGCGGGAGAGAACCGCGGAGGGGGAGGGGAACGGGGCGGAGGGACGGGAAAGGCCGAGCCGGCCCTGGCCCACTGGCCCGGGGGCGGGGACCACCGTCCCTGGGATACGGAGGGGCGGGCGGCCCGGGGCCGAAGAACAGAAGAGGGGCGAGAGGAGCAGGACGGCTAAGAGGGTGACGCTCCAGCCGGGGGTGGGGGTGGGCGGGGCCCGTCTGAGGCAGGAGCCGGACTCCAGGGGCGCCGGGCCGCGGGCGCCACCTCCCGGCCGTTGAGGGAGCGGGTTCTGTGCCCAGTGGGCCGCGCGGGCCTGCAGGCTGCCCCTGGGACTCTCCAGCGGTGCCCAGGGGTGGTGTGGGCGTGAGGCCACAGCTTCTGAGCCTCAACATATTAATTAATTAATTTATTTAAAGATTTATATATTTATGCATACAAGAGCTGGGGTGCAGGCCAGAGGTGTGGGGGGTGAGAGGATTCACCAGAGACAGAGCAGGGAACAGAACAGGCAGACTGACGAAATACACTGCTGAGGGGAGCAGCGGGCGAGTCAGGAGAGGTCTGCCGCGCCTGTGGGTTGCTCCCTGGCCAGCCGGGGATCGAACTTGTGCTTCAGTGGCTGCGGATTGCTTCGTAGGTTGCGTCTTAACCCTTGCGCCAACCAGGGAGGCCCATCCTCAGCATATTAATTAATTAATTAATTAATTAATTTTTAAAATTTTATTTTTATATTCCCCATACAATTGCAACCCCCTTATTTTGACCCCAATCCCTCCCCTCCCCCCACCCCCCATAGCATCCTCAGCATATTTATAAGAAGGCTTCTTGGCTAAACTTCTGATAGATGCTAGAGGGCACTTGTCAAGGTGGGATGTTAACTTTTGCAGTCAGACCTGGAGTTGTGTGAAGGAGGTCGGTGGGCAGCTTTTATTGTATTATTTTTACGAGGGAGCCAGAAACGTGCATTGAATTGCTAGTGAGGCAGGTGCGCCCAGAGCTCTCACAGATCCTGCTCCCCAGTCAGCAGAGCTTTCGAGCACTCTATGCAGTGCCTGTGGTTCACTGTCTCCTCCTCTACTCCCTGGAACCTCCCTCCTGACCCTTTTCAGTCACCCCCGCTCCCCAGTCTCTCTCTGTCATCAGATTTTTTTCCCCATTGGTTTATGCAACTTTATTAAAAAAAAATAGAGCAATTGATCACTCATCCATTGACAACTTGCATCATTTATTCAGAGCTATATTAAACAGTGTCCTCCCCGGTGGCGCAGCGGTTGAACACTGGGCTGGGAAGCTGCCCACAGCCTCTGCAGTGCCAGTTCGATCCTGGCCTCCGGGCGAGGGTCCCACATGGCATCTCTCCTGCTGCCCGCTGCTCCCCTCAGCAGTGTGTTTCATCGTTCTGCCTGTTCTGTTCCCCGCCGTGGCTCTGGTGAATTCTCTCACTCTCCCGCACTTCTGACTGTACCCAGTGCTTGTATAAATAAACAAACAAATCTTAAAAAAAAAAACAAACAGTGTATTGGAAGATGGATTAACTGGTAGCTCCAAGCCTCCTAACAATTTAAACAAAAATTACAAAATATTTGAGACCTTATTTTGGAATACAAAGGGTGTTTGACTACTAATTTCCAGTCTCTGTAGAACAAGAACAGGTCATTCCTTTATTGACATGAACTGTGATGTTCACAAGAATGGCCTCATATAGTATGTGCTCTCTCTGGCTTCTTTTGCTCAGCGTAATATTATTGAGAGTGTGGCTGGTTTGATTATATTTATTGCTGAAGACTATTGTCTTGTGTGAATGCCACGCTTAGCACAGTGTATTTATCCATCCTCCTACTGGAGTGCTTTTGGACAGTTTCTGGTTATTATAAATAAAGCTGCTATAGACATTCTTTTTTTAAAATAAAAATATTTATTTATTTATGCATACAAGAACTGGGGTACAGGCCAGAGGTGTGGGGATGAGAGGATTCACCAGAGAGAGTAGGGAATAGAACAGGTAGATCAATGGACATACACTGCTGAAGGGAGCAGCGGGCGAGTCAGGAGAGGTCTGCTGCGCCATGTGGGTAGCTCCCTGGCCAGGGATCGAACTTGTGCTGCAGTGGCTGCAGGTAGCTTCATAGGTTGTGTCTTAACCCCTTGTGCCACCAGGGAGGCCCTGCTGTAGACATTCTTCCGCATGTCTCTCTGGTAGGCCTGTATCTCTCAGACCTGTTCTTAGACGGATTGCTTTGTTGTGGGAGGGTCACATGCGGCTTTATTAGGCATGGGTGACAATTTTAGACAAGACCTGTGTTCTCCCTGGCTGCCGCCTCCCACCCACATTCATTCCACTGTTGTTCGGTCCCGGATGCTGTCACAATTTGAACCTCAGCAAGGCAGCTTGGGTCAGGGAGGGAACAGGGACAGGATCAGAGTAAGTGGCCCCCCAGGATGGCCCACAGATACCTTCAGACTCTCATGACCACTCGGAGTAGAAGGGTAGGCTATCCCAGCCCTTAGGTCAGGTTCAGGGACCCTCGTGCCCTCCTGGCCATCATCTCCCTAGCCTGGCGTCGCTGAGCGAGCTGGCTTAGTGTAACTGTCAATTTGATGTCTGGCTCTGGTGCCACGGGCACTCACGGTCCACTGTTTCCTGAGCTCCTTGCTGCTTTGTGGTGACTGAGAGGCTGGGTGTTTGGGGGAAAACCACCAGAGACCTACCCGGAATAGCAGAGGCTTGTCTATGCCAGCCTCGTGGCACTTTTGGGGGGGACGGGCGGGACCATGTCCTGCCCACCAAATTGCCACCTCATTGAGGCTGCAAAGACTGACAGAAAGTCTGAGGAGAAGAGAAGGGCAAGGGAGAGAGGGAAGGGATGCGCTGGGCACGGGAGGGAGAGCAGGGAGCCATTGCTGCGTGTGTGGATACTGGGGTTGTGGGCATCTCGAGGCCTGTGAGCATCCTGGGGTTCTGTGAGCATCCTGGGGTCCGTGTGATCATCCTGAGGTTCATATGAGCATTCTGAGGTCAGTGTGAGCATCCTGGGGTCAGCGTGAGGTGGACCCCAGTGATCTTCCTGGTCAGCAGCACCTGGGTCAGTTACTCCTGACTGGCCTTCTCAGACATCCCCTTGCTGGCAGGCCCTTGTCTCAGCCTGGGGAAAGGGATAATGCCTAGCCGGTGGGGTGTGGTTGATGGATTTCAGGGGCTCCCAGGTCTCCTGCTTACTGGTGGGAGACCTTACTCCCTCAGTGCAGCCTCCCTTTGTGTCTCCCCTCTGTTTCTCCCTCCCTCTCCACATCTGCTGGGGATGGCTTTTCTGGTCCAGATCCTTGGGGGGGGGGGGAAGGGGAGGGCTTGAAGTCGCCCCTTGGGGGCAGGGGCCATGAGTGGCCCTTGGAGCAGGTGGCATGTGACTGCAGAGAGGTGAGCTGTGACACCCCCACCCGCAGGTTCCTAGGAGGCGAGTGCGGACGGTATGCAAAGTTGTGAATCCAGTGGCGACAGTGCGGATGACCCTCTCAGTCGTGGCCTTCGGAGAAGGGGACAGCCTCGTGTGGTAGTGATCGGCGCCGGCTTGGCTGGCCTGGCTGCAGCCAAAGCGCTTCTGGAGCAGGGCTTCACGGATGTCACTGTTCTCGAGGCTTCTAGCCGCATCGGAGGCCGAGTGCAGAGCGTGAAACTCGGTGAGTGCTTCTTTCTGTCCCTGCTCGGCCCCCAACACCCTGGCCCCTCCTGCTTCTTCCCTGGGGTGAGTAGTCCACCATACATGCTGCTGGTGTTTCCCAGAAGCTTCCTTTGCCCCTTTCAGCAGCCCTCTGAAGTGGGCAGCTTGGGGCTCTTGCCTCCATTTGGGGAGATGACCTGGGGTTTAAAGTGTTTAAGAGGAAGTGGACACCCAGAATCGAACTTTCTTGGCAGTTTCCGTCTTATGAGAAGGGGAATTCTGCAAGTTTCTATTAGTCATTAATTTTTGAGTGTGGATTAGTAGATGATTCAGCCCTGGGACAATAGGCACTCAGGGCCACAGAGGTAGAAGGGGATTTTATGCCTCCTTTGGAGTGATAGGCAGTTCTTAGGATTGTCTGGGGAGAGGGTCAGTCTAGGTTGCAGAATAAAGAGGACTAGGGAGAAAGCAGAGACTTTCTCCAGGGAGTGTGTAGATTTTTCCAGGGGTCATTGAGAATGGGGAAATGCTTGAAACGCAGCTGGAGGTCAGGGCTTCCCAGCCAGGGGATGTAACCATGAAGCAAGGATCATTAAAGTGGCCCAATGGGATGATACCAGTGGCTTGGAGTGTGGAGGCTATCGATCCTTCAGAGGATTTTGTGTCTGTCCCCACATCGGGTATTAAGGCCAAGTCATTCTGGGTGCCCACTTGTAAGGGTCAGGAAGCTGGCTCAGAGATGCAGGCGGTGAGGTTTAGAACAAGCAGAGGCTGAGGACACTTGGGGACCTTCTTCCTCCTCTCACAGCTTGATCACAGGAAAAGCCTTCCCTTCGGCACTTGCAGGAGGGTGTGCATGATGCTGCGCTGGTTTTGCTTTGGCACACAGGGCTGTGTGCTGCCCAACTTGGGAACAGTCAGCTGAAGCTCTGCACTCCGCTTGACATCTGATTGGCAGGCTGGGAGCCTGAGGGGCGTGGGGGCTCCTTTTGTGGGTCTCAGGTCTTGATATGACAGTCAAGGGCTGACATAGCAGCAGAGGACGAGAGGACGAATGGCCGAGTCTCAGTGATAGCTGAGACGTGCCAGGCAGGGAAGTGCTGGTGCAAGGTTGTGAGGCTGAAGATGCCTTCCTGGGGGAGGGAGCTTGGGTGGGCCTCAGGTGATGGCGGTGTTGGGTAGGTAGTGAGAAGGAGGAGAGGAAATACCCAAGAAGCAAGATGTGAGCAAGATGAGGCGGACCCTGCAGGAAGGCTTGCCTGGGGCTGGTTTGTCTGAGTGCCTGGTCGTGTGGCCGAGGCTGGCACTGGATGCTGACTGGACATTGTTTCTCCATCAGGATAAGCCTAGGTTTCTCTCTATAGGGACATTTTAAGGGGGTGGGAGAGGAAGCCATGAGGCCTCTTGAGGCCTAGGCTCTGAAATTGAGATTGAGTTTGGGGGTGGGGGGTGTGCTACGTTCTGTCTGGAAGGGGACTTTGATGCTGGAGCTACAGGGATGTTGAGGAACTGGAAGATGGCTAGATGGGGACCTTGGGTCTGGAGGGTGGGGTTCCTCCTGGGTCACTAGCTGGGTATTCCAGGTAGCCTCACTCCCTCACTGGGATCCTTAGGTATCCCCAGAATGTTTCCTGAGGGAGAAGCATCTATGAGGAAGGAGGGTTTGGTGTCTGGTGCTATCTTAGAAAAAGATATTCAGTGAGGTGACTCTGGGGCAATCATAGAGGCATTCTGGGCGCAGTCATCATAGTTGTAAAGTGGAATTCACTTTGTGCCACATCTGGTTTCCCTGGGAACTTTTTACTAAGGATTTTGGTTTTGCCAGAGGGACCCTAATTCCTGTCCTGTGCTGTTATGGAGTGGAAGGATCTTCTTGGAGGATGGAGGGGGGGCAGCATTTTGGCTTTCTCTGAAGAAGTCCTTGCCCCTCTAAGGGCCTGTTGTTGTCCCCATCAGGACACGCCACCTTTGAGCTGGGAGCCACCTGGATCCATGGCTCCCACGGGAACCCCATCTATCATCTAGCAGAAGCCAATGGCCTCTTGGAAGAGACAACTGACGGGGAGCGCAGTGTGGGCCGCATCAGCCTCTACTCCAAGAATGGCGTGGCCTGTTACCTTACCAACCGTGGCCGCAGGATCCCCAAGGACGTGGTTGAGGAATTCAGCGATTTATACAACGAGGTGTGGTGTCAGCAGTGCAGCTGGCCCAGGGTGTGGGTGGCAGGGATGCCCTGGCGTGTGGGGGAGTTGGGTGGTCTGCCAGGGTCTTCCATGAACCTGGTCATGTCTTGGTACACTCTGTGGGCCCTGCATTTGGAGGAACAGGACAACCTGAGGATAGAATGAAGATGATGAGTGGAGAAGTCCTGGGTAAGAGATAATTGATACACATACTTAAATATTCTGCAGAAAGACTTTAAACATCTTTTATTCAATTTATTACTAAGTACTTGGGGGTAGTGATCATCCTTATTGTTTTTGGATATTCTTGTAGATGCTACCTAAAAAACCCCTTATTTTCTAATTGTTTCTGGTGTATAGAAAGACAGCAGATTTTTACATATTTTTAGTTACCTTGCTACATTATTTTAATTCTAATAATATATCTGTTAACATATTAATTGTATAACCTAGGGACTAATATTTTGGAATTTTAAGTATAATCATAGACAAAAAAATGAGCATTTTGATTTTTCTTTTTAATCCTCAGACCAGTGTTGTCCAATAGCACTTTCCATGATGATGGGCATGTTTTAGTCTGGCACTCTCTAGTCTAGTAATCACTAGCCACGTGTAGCTCTTATTTATTTATTTATTTATTTATTTATTTATTTATTATAGAGGCATGTTTTATTTATTTGTTTGTTTGTTTGTTTTTTGTTTATACATGCACTGGGTACAGTCAGAAGTGCGGGAGGGTGAGAGAATTCACCAGAGCCAGAGCGGGGAGCAGAGCAGGCAGAAGGACCGAAGTACACTGCTGAGGGGAGCAGCGGGCGGCAGGAGAGGTCTGCACGCCATGTGGGACCCTCCTCCGGTGGCCAGGGAGCAGCCGGGGATCGAACCGGCGCTGCAGAGGCCACGGGCAGCTTCGCAACCCAGCGCTCAATCGCTGCGCCACCGGGGAGGCCCGACGTGTGGCTCTTGAGCACTTAAATGTAGCTAATGAAACCAAGGAACTAAATACCTAATTTAATTTTAATTTCATTTGCTACAGATGTCTAGTGGCTACTTTATTGTACAGCACAGCCTCTGACCATTCATTTCCTTTTCTTGCTTTATTACACTGGCTGGCATCTTCAGTACAGTTCTGGATGGCAGTGACACACAGCCTTGTCTTATTCAGGTTTATGAAAAAAAGTTAATATTTACAGTGTCTTTCGGTGGTGCTGTGAATTGCACTGAACAAGCTTGTAGGCCCCGCCTACTGGTAGCTTCAGCACCCTCCATACTTGTTGGCTTGGCCTGTTGTACATTTTCTTCATCCCTTGGGTGTGGGCAAGGAGAAATGACCCCTGCTTTGGGGTAATCCCTGTTCAGTGGAGGGCAGCACCTTCTGCCTCTTGTCTGCGTGCATAGGTGTATTGTCTGCGTTCTGTGGTACAGTGTGTTCTCACTCATGGACAGAGGCTGAATTGTTAATGAGCAGATAAGAACGAGTGTTCTTTAAACTAGACCTTCCTGGTCTACTGGGAGTCATGTCCCTGTTCCTGGAATGAGTGCTTCAAGCATGGATGCCTCTTGAGAATGACTCAGAGTCTATGGCTTGCTTGTTCTTTTAAATACCCTTAAAAATAGATCGTCATCAACGTGGGTTTGCTTGTGGGTTTGATTTTGAAAGTCAAGAGTGTGATTGATGGAAAGTAGAGTGGATAAAGGCAGGTTATCAGTCTGGGTGGTGATACTTTGGGTCACAGGGAGGAGGTGTTAGCCATGAGGTAAAAAAATAGGTTTCCTTGCTTGACTCTTAACTAGTCTGAAGCCCTGCCTGAGGGTGACTTCAGAAAAAATAGGCATCCTCGCTCCAGAGATGACTTTGAAGTGCTACTTATTTGAATATTTTTGATAACAAATAAAAGTGCATGTACAATAGCATCATATAGAGCTTAGCCTCTAGGGACAACTTTGATTTAAGTGCCTGTTCTACTATTATTAGTTGTATAATCTTGAGCAAGGCTTTGAATCTCTCTGATCTTGCTTTCATCATCTGTAAAGTGGGACATTGTTACACCTACTTTTTAGTGTCTTGGGAATTAAGTGAGATCCCAGTGAAAAGCACTTAATGAGAATTGGGGTGAGTACTATTTGCTGTTACAAGACTGCCCTATTTCCCTTGGGTTACCTTGGGAGGAGGTCACTCAACCCAGGACAGGAGACTGTACCCATGGGACAGATCCATAGGGCTGTTCTGGCTGGTGGTTGACACAAAAACTCACCTAGATGGACGACTCACATAAACTCACACCTTTCTCTCTCCATGCTGCCCAGGTCAACGTTTGCTACTCCTCAGCTGGGCATTTTGGCCTCTAGTCAACATTAGTTAGGGACTGGCTACCATGTCTTATCACCCAAGGCAAAAAGGGAGGAGGAGAGGCAGTGAGCTGAAAGCCTGACTCCTTGGCAGTGCTACTGGGTGAGGAAAATGCTGAGGAACTCTAGTTTAGGCCAAACCCTCAGCATCTTGTGACTGTAGGGAGGAAAAATGAATAATTTAACTTATTTTCTTCTTTGTATCTTATACTTCAGAGACATGTGTAATTCATGTTTCTGTCTCATGCAGCAGCCTCTCCCTTGAGTGAAATGGTGAAAGTGGGTAGGACCACCTTCCTTCCACTTCTCTGCAGCATTGGGGCTGGTCCCAGGGCGGGGTAACAGGACAGACATGATTCCCCCAAATATGTGCAAAGCAAATCCAACTTCGTCTTAAGAAGGGACACAGACTAGTAATTGGCACTGACCATGGATATGTGGCCAAGGAACCCATATTTTCCAGTGTCCTGGAGGGAGAGTGGGTATGTGATTGTGTTCACAACCCTTCAGTGATGCCAGCGCCTTGGATACATCCAGAGTCCTTGGCATGATTCTTAGTCCTTTGCACCCTGGCCCCTGCCTGCTTTCCATGGTCGCCTCTTGCAGTTCCCCCTCTGTGCTGCCCACTTCAGCAAGACTGAGCCGCTGTGATTGCAGCTGGCATTCTGTCTCCTTCTTCCTCATCTTTGAGTCTCCTGTTCCTTTTGCCTACAATACATGTCTTGTCCCCTCTGTTAGCCTGACTGTTGCCTGATTCCCAAGGTTGTTCGAGTAGATCTCCCACCTCCTGGATTCTTTCCCATCACAGCACATATATAGAAACAGTCCAGTTACGATGTCTCCCCAACTGAGTGAAGGCAGGGCTCAGGACTGTCTCTCTTACCATTACAACCTATGTCTGGCACAGAGCCCACTAAATGTTAATTAAATGTTGGGGTTCAGACCTTGCCTTTTGGGGATCCCATGACTGACTCAGGCCTGGCTTACTTTGCTCAGGGAGATGTGCCCAGAGTTTGGTGGGAGGTTAGGAACCAGGCAGACAGGATGGGCATCAGGACCCCACTCCAGGGGACCTTCCTATCAATGAGATGCAGTTTGAAGTTCTTGCAGTTTGCCAATGAAGTGCATCCCCGTTCCTTGGCACACTGGGTCCTCCCCTCCCGATGCTCTGCCCCACTGTGGCTATCTTCCTTGCATGTGTCTGAGATTTGCAGTCAAGGGAGGTGCTCTGTGTGGACATGAGCAGGGCCAGAGAGGGTCTCCTGGGAAATAAGATTTCACCTGTTCCAGCCAACACCGGCCAGGCCACCACTCCAGCTTGCTCTCTTGGGAGCGAGTGAAGCAGACATACGCAGTGGTGTCCTGTTCCCAGACTGCAGGCATCAAACATGTCACTTTGTTCAAAGTAAGCACTTAGCAAAAGAGTCTCTGGGGCCCATGCAAGCTCTCTCACTGGCTCAGGGGGCCTTTGGCTGCTTACCATCTATAAACCTTGACCTTGACCCTGTTGGTACAGCCACCGTGTAGCCCTGTGCAGCACATGATTCACCGAGGCAGAGAGCTTGGGCTCAGCACATCAGGGGATACCTGGGAGGTGGTGACTTTTGAGTTGGGCCCTTTGGTCTGAGATGGAGGTGGGATGAGGGAGAGTATTTTCAGTCTTCTGGACTCTCTCTGGCAGGTCTATAACTTGACCCAGGAGTTCTTCCGGCATGGTAAACCAGTCAATGCTGAGAGTCAGAACAGCGTGGGGGTGTTCACCCGGGAGGAGGTGCGCAACCGCATCAGGAATGACCCTGATGAGCCGGAGGCCACCAAGCGCCTGAAGCTCGCCATGATCCAGCAGTACCTGAAGGTATCTTTGCTGTCTGGGAGCTTTGCTGAGTGCAGATGCCAGGACCACAGATTCTGGGGATCTGGGTCTGAGGAAGGTGGCACTGCTCTGAGGCTGTCCTCTGTTCCTGCTCAGTCTTGGTGCTCACCTGCCTTCTCTCCTGACACTCTCACAGGTGGAGAGCTGTGAGAGTAGCTCACACAGCATGGATGAGGTGTCCCTGAGCGCCTTTGGGGAGTGGACGGAGATCCCAGGCGCCCACCACATCATCCCCTCGGGCTTCATGAAGGTTGTGGAGCTGCTGGCGGAGGGCATCCCAGCCCATGTCATCCAGCTGGGGAAACCTGTCCGCTGTGTTCACTGGGACCAGGCCTCTGCCCGCCCCCGGGGTCCCGAGATTGAGCCTCGGGGTGAAAGTGACCACAATCACAACTCCGGGGAGGGCAGCCAAGGTGGAGAGGAGCCCCGGGGGGACGGGGAGGATGAGGAGGCGCAGTGGCCGGTGATGGTGGAGTGCGAGGACTGCGAGGTGATCCCGGCTGACCACGTGATCGTGACCGTGTCGCTGGGCGTGCTCAAGAGGCAGCATGCCAGCTTCTTCCGGCCTGGCCTGCCCGCCGAGAAGGTGGCTGCCATCCACCGCCTGGGGATTGGCACCACCGACAAAATCTTCCTTGAATTTGAGGAACCCTTCTGGGGTCCCGAGTGCAACAGCCTACAGTTTGTGTGGGAGGACGAGGCGGAGAGCCGCACCCTCACCTACCCGCCTGAGCTCTGGTACCGCAAGATCTGTGGCTTCGATGTCCTCTACCCGCCCGAGCGCTACGGCCACGTGCTGAGCGGCTGGATCTGTGGGGAGGAGGCCCTCGTCATGGAGCGGTGTGACGACGAGGCGGTGGCCGAGATCTGCACCGAGATGCTGCGGCAATTCACTGGTGCGTTCCAGGGGGTCCCCCACACCCTCCAGACCTCCAGACGCTCCCGAGCTGGGTGGTTGCCTTCCTCCCCTCCAGAATGAGAAGCTGGGGTGTCCCCTGGGAGAATCTGGGCACCATGTTTCAGTCTCTGGCTCCCAAGTCGTGGGCCTGCTCCCTGTTTGGAGCTTGAAATACTCTGAACCAGAGGCACCGTGTCCTTCTCTTTCTAGGTCCTGAATGGTAAACTGAGGTATCCTTGCAAAACCTCAGACCACCCATTTCCTACTCATCTGATCTTGCTAAGAGACGAGCCTGTCTTTACTGATTCTCTTAGTTGAACACCTTTCCTCCGCTGTCCCTGAGGAACCTCAGAAGCACCCCTGAAGTTGGAGGGGGAGACGTGATTACCTGGAGTGTGTTTTCAGATAGGGGAATTAAGGCTCAGGGAGATGAAGTGTTTTGTTGGGGTGCGGGGTCACAAGGAAACGTTGAAGGGTTGAAGGGTACACACCTTGACCCCAGGCTCCCCATCCTCCCCTCCACCTTGCACCCTCCATACCTGCCTTTGGCAGCCGAGCCCCCCTTGGAGCCCCGGAGGTGGAGTGGGAGCTGTCTGTTCAGGGGGGTCTTCTGCATGTGGCCATTTCTTATCCCATCTCCCTTGGGCTCTTCTGATTTCCCAACAGGGAACCCCAATATTCCAAAGCCTCGTCGAATCCTGCGCTCAGCCTGGGGCAGCAACCCCTACTTCCGAGGCTCCTACTCATACACGCAGGTGGGCTCGAGTGGGGCAGACGTGGAGAGGCTGGCCAAGCCCCTGCCACACACAGAGAGCTCCAAGACGGCGGTGAGTGTGCAGGGGAGGGGTGTGCAGGGCGAGAAGGGGTGTGTGAGTGGGGGCATGGGCATTCGGTGTGTGTGTTGAAGGGGGAAAGGGTGAATGAGTACTCTCTAAGGGGTGCTGAGGTGAGACAGGGCTGGAGTAACTCCAGTGGTGAAAGAGAAAAACCAGAAAATGTGCACTTAACATCTGGAAGAAAAGATGGAATCCAACCTAGGTGTTAATGGCTTTCTTGGGGTTATAAAAAAGGAGTCATTTAGTGCTGTGCTGTCCAATGTGGTAACTATTAGCCGCATTTCATTTAAGTCAATATTGCTAAATTTTAATGAGTAAATTAGAAATTCAGCTCTTCAGTAGCACTAACCACATTTCAAGTTGGGTAGCCACCTGTGGCTAGCGGCTGCCATAGTGGATTGTGTAGTTACAGCAAATTTCCCACATCACAGAGTTCTAGTGGACAGCACTGGTTCAATGGGAGTAAGCTTTCCCAATATGGCTTAGAAAATCAAATTGAGAATAATGATCACCCCCTCAAATTATATCAACCATGGAGTTGGAAAGAAAATAATAAATCTGAGAGAAACATAGACTCATCAAGCCTCAGCCTTTGTGCTGTGCTCAGGGGAGAGCAGAGAAGGCCCTCCCTGCCACCAAAGTCATACTCCTGCAAAGCAAACCTCTTGTCACCTGCATCAGTTAGGACTAGTGCCTATAGCAAACAGCAAAATGAAACAAAAATAAATTCTTAAACAAGATGGTTGTGTCCGTCTATCACACAAAAGGAAAACTGGAGGTAGGTAATAGGTATCGTTAGCATCTGCCTTCTATTGTCAAAGCCACCTGTGGCCCAAAAGGGCTGCAGGGGCTCCTGCTCTCACATCTGCATCTTAGGCTGCAAGGATAGGGCAGGCAGATGGACAGGCAGAGGGCTGTCAGCATCTTTAAGCAACAGTGCACTTGAAGTGCTTTTGAAGCTGTTTGGCCAGAATGTAGTCACATGACCCATGCCAGTGGCTGGTGAGGCTGAGATACGTCATTTTAATTCTGGATGGCAATGGACCCAGCTAAAAATCAGGCCTTTGTCACTGAGGAGAAATAGGAGAATGGGTGTGGGAGGAGGCAGCTTGCCCTCTACCACAATACACCCCCTTTCGGCTTAACCAACTCATTGCTGGTGGGTTCAAGCCTCAAGACTCAGAGTGGGGGGTGGGGGTTTCTGTGACTAGAAGTCCCAGCATCACCCGGGCATGTGGTAGAAATGCAGATGCCCAGCCCTGCTGCATTCACAACTGCATTCTACCCGGGTCCCCAGATAGTGGCTTTGCACATTCAGTTTGAGATGCAAAGTCCAACTCAAGCTTGGAAAGCAAGCACTTGTGCTTTGCCTGGAACCCCTCTAGGCAGCCTGCTTTCTCAAGGTGGAGCTCTGGCTGTGTCAAAATTCTCACTCTCCCTTAAACAAGACCTGCTTTGGTGCAGTTTTGCCCCCTACTTTTTCTTCTTGAAGCATCCTTTGCCTGTTTATTTACCTAGACTCTTCCAAGAAGTAGTCCACAGGTCCTGTCCTTTGGGAAGCTTTGTGCGACCCTCCTGACAGTGGGCCTCTTCTGGGCTCTCAGCACCTTGCCCAAATACCCATCACGTCACGTTTGACGCCGTTTAGTAATTGGGTCTCGTGTCTGGCTTCCCCACCAGCATGGAAGCTCCTCAAAGCAGCAGCCCGGTCACCTTTTATCTTCCAAGTGCCCAGAACAGTCCCTGGACCCTAATAGGGGCTCCATAAAGGTTTGTTAAATTATCGCCTAACTTTATCGAGTGCTTATGTTCTTCCAGGTTCTAAGTGCTTTAGTTACATTATTTATCCTTACTATCATCCTAGCAAGCAGGTGGTATAAACTCTGTTTTGCAGATGAGAAAATCAAGGCTTAGGAGCTTAAATCACTTGCCCTGAGTTCACTAGCAAGAGGCACAATGAGTTTCTGAGACTGAGAAGCTAGGACTCCTAAAAGCCTCAGAACAGAAAGAACTGAGGCCCAGATGTTTGGGGCAGAAGCAGGGGAAGGTGACCATGTGGGATGGGCAGCTCCTCCTCCTGTGAAAACAGCAATAACTGCATCTCAGATGCCTGCTCATTCCTCTGTGACTGGTAGTATGGATGGGAGGCCCCGGGGCAGAGAGGTAGCCTCTTAACTTGTCCTGTTGCTCTGCCCCTCACTTCCCTGTCCCCTGCCCAGCCCATGCAGGTGCTGTTCTCCGGTGAGGCCACACATCGCAAGTACTACTCCACCACCCATGGTGCTCTGCTCTCTGGCCAGCGCGAGGCTGCCCGTCTCATAGAGATGTACCGAGACCTCTTCCAGCAGGGGCCTTGAGGGCCTCCTCACTGCCCAGCGTGTTTCTTAAAGAACCACTAACTCGTGACTGCCAGCCCTCCCCCTGTTGCTCTGTCCTCCTAATTTCCTAATCTTCTGTAGAATCAGTTTTTAGCGTTCGTAGAGTAGACACCCTGACTGCTTCAGACCTGGCTCTGTAGCTCTTCCTTTTCTCCATGCCAGGTCTTGACCAGGGTGGGGCCTGTTGATTTACCTCTGTGCTCTGACCTCTGACCTCCCTGTGCCTCTCCTCCCTTCCTGCCTTGTTATTGTAAGTGCCTTCAATACTTTGCATTTTGGGATAATAAAAGAGGCTTGCCGTTCTGTGCTCCTCAGCTTCTCTCTTTGGTTTTCTGGTTTTTGTCGGGGTTGGGGGGGGGTGGGGGTGTGTGGGGGTGGTGGTGGTGGGGTGTGTGTGTGTTTTAACACACCTCCTTTGAGGGAGGGCATGTGACCTGGTTGTGCCCCCAGCAGGGAAGAAGCCTGCCTTTTCTGGAAGGGCTCTGCTGGTGAGGCCTGTCAGGGATCAGGACGCCTAGCTGAGCAGCCCCATCTCCTTCAGGCCAGACCTGGGCCTGCCCCTGGAATGAAGGCAGTTCCATGGGAGGGGACACCAGTTCTGACTCCATGCCAAGCTCAGGTGTATTAATTATTAACCACTGGGCACAGAGCCCTGGGTCTGGCCCTGGGGTAACTCTCTTGACTTCTGGAAAGGTAGTCTGCTCATTCCTCTGTGTTTTTTTCAGGGGAGCTCCCCTAGTGGCCCCCGCCTGCTGTGTTCCAAGCCTGTCACTTACTGGCATCTTGTCTTTGCTGGGTGAACACACACTGACAGACACCACCTGTAGACACATCTACACATCTTCCTCAACTACTGTTTTTTTTTTTTTTTTTTTTTTTAACACACCCCCTTTGAAGGAGGGGATCTGACCTGGTTGTGCCTGATAATCCCACTGTTACATTGAAAATATGTCAAAAATGCTACCTGGAGCCACAGCAGGCTGCCACTGCCCAGCATCCCAGGAGAGGAAGGCACTGTGGTTTCTGCTGAACACATATAGTTTTCACACCATTGTAAAGACCTAAGTGGAACCATCGGAAGTTGGGGACCATCTGTGCATACCCCTATATTTACTCCCTCTCATACCCTCCATATACATCCACCCATACAGAGACATCTACACATGTGCTTAGGGCTTTAAAGAACACTTAGTCACTTTCTTAATCCAGACTTCTAGTGGTAGAATTCAAGTTCTGTAGAGTTGGGGGTGGTGGAGGGGGCAGAGGAAGTTGTGAAAATCCAGCCCCCTCCTCCCCACCCTCCAGTCTAACTCTGTATGAGCTCAGGTATGAGCTCTGTATGAGCTCAGGATCCTTCTCGAAGTTTAGGGCACTGACCATGTTAGGACTCTACCCCTCTGCTTCTCACCCTCTCCTTCAGAGGCCTGCAACAGCCTTCTGGAAGATTGGCGTAGTGGGAGCTGAAATCGTTGACCCTGGATTTATGAAGATCTGAAAATGCTGTAATCCCGAATGCTGAATCCTGAACACTCAATCCTGGGGGCTGCTTTTGCAGTCCCTTATATTTCTTATCAGAGTCTCAACTCCTACTGATACTTTGTTCTCATTTTCCCTGGGGTTCACCAGCACCCCGTCCTGGGGGCACCACCTGTAACAGTCTTTGGCTGAAGCCATCATGTATGGTAAGTGAAAAAGTATCAGGCTTTTCTGCCCTCCCGCTATTAGGACTGATGATGGATCCCTATGGTCCTGAATGCATGCCTGATGGCGGGCGCCTGGAGTAGGGTGTGGGCATGCGTAGATGGGATACACCTGGGCTGAGAGACTGGGCTTTTAAGGGCGTGTTATGGGGATGCCAGCAGAAACAGAGCAGAAAGCAGAAGCAGAGAGAACCAGAGAATGCCGGAGCGCCCAGAAAGAGTGAAGACTTGCTGGGGCCTGGGAGGCCTGCCAGCCTCCCGGCCCCCCAGCACCCCTGCCTGCCGTGTGCCTGGTAAATCCCAATAAAAGTCTGCAACAGCCAGTGAGGGTTCCAGGACTCTCTCCTCCTTTACCCCGTCTGCTTGGGTCATAGAGATCCTGCTCCGTGTCCTCCTGCTATTACACACCAGTAAAATAAAGAGTGGGTTCTCCGGATCACAGGTACGGGAATCTTAAAGGACTCCATGAGGGTGAAAGAACCGGAAATGTTGGTTCGATGATTGTGTGTTGAGGAGCTTCAGGTGTGAGCAAGAAAGAGGCCGACTGCCTGCCAGGCACCGCGTAGGTCATAACGGCACAGCGCACAAGACCTTGTTTTCATGTCAACTCAGATTGTGGAGGCGACTTCTCTTGGGAAAATGAAACCTCGAAAACTAAGTAACACAGCAGTGCCACCCGGGTAGGTGGGGATGTACTGAGGTCTGACTCCACAGTACAGGCTCATTCTGTTTACTGCCTGATGAAGAGGCCGGTGCTGGGGTGGAGGGGGTGAGGGGAAATCTGCGGCCGCTGCTGGAAGGGGTGGAACTGGGCATGGCCACACTGGGGGCTGAGGGGCAGTTTCTACAAGAGTTGACCTCATGCCCGCCGGCACGTCCACTCCTGGGTGCACACCCAAGAGAAATGAGGGCCTCTGCCTACCTGAAAGATGCAGTAGAATGTTCGTAGCAACATACTGGTAGTTCACAATAGCTAAAAATTGGAATTAGCCCCAATGTCCACTAGTAGATGGATAAAATGTTGTACATTCATACTACGGAACACCACACACCGACAGAAAAGGTGAGTGGATGCCTGCAATGACATCTGGTAACCTCAAAAGATGTTGAATGAAAGAAGCCAGACATAGGCTATCCACTGTGCATTATCTTTTATATGAAGTTCAAGAACCTGCAAACCAAAATCTATGGCATTAGGAATGCCTGGGGAGGGAGCATGGGGGACTGTCTGGGGTTAAAGGAATGTCCTGGATCTTGATTTGGGTGCCGGCTGCATGGGCTGAAATGCATCAGGTTGTACACTAAAGATTTATGCATTTTTTCTATATGCAAAACAAAAGTTTCACCTGAGGGTGCCCCTCCCTCTCTGCCATCCAGAATGTATGGGCTGTGTGAATTTCCTCCTTGCAGTAGACATGGTGCAGCCTGAGAGCAGATAAAGGGGAAGGACCTACTGCTGCCCTGCTGGCTGCCGGGTGATAAGGACTGGTCTTGTGTTTACGTAAGATTTCACTTTATCCGTTTCCCTCCAAGAATCTCCTCATCTGGGGACCTGCGGCCATCTGAGGTAGACTGCAGAGAAAATTGAGGTTACCAGGACTGGTGTGAGGCTGTGCAAAGCTGTGCTGCTTGGAGAGGGTGCCATCTCGGGCAGGGGTGAGGTGGGAGGAGCCGAAGGTGCTGTCCTGGATTTGGCTGGAGCAGTCAGCCTCCGTCGCACTGTCAGTCAGATAACCGTGGGGGGAGTTAGGTTCTGCAGCAACAAAACAAAACCTGCTTTTTCCAGGCAGATAAAAGCAAGAACCATCCAGAAGTGAGGCGAGAGATAGATGTCTCAGGGACACAGGATGAGTGTCTTGCTGTGACTGAGTTTTGGAAGCAGCCTTGGCATTGATGGGAACCCCACAGAGTCTCTGGGGTGCTTGCGCTGGCATGCTCAGGCCAACACCCATGCCAACACCTGCTCTATAGCTGCCCTCGTTGGAAAGTTTACCAATGGGGAAAGCTCTTTCTTGGCACTGAATTCGTGTAGAATTGGTTGCATGCTTTCTTGGGCTGTGGGCATCAGGGAGACGGCAAGGTGTTGGTTGTGGCTTTGTGAAAACCTCAAATGTTCCTTCAAGGGTCCTGGGGTCCTTGGTGCATACTCTCTTTTTGAGTCTTTGCTGGATGTTAGCTCCTACTTGATGCTTGGGGCATCTGCCTCACCAGCAAACGATTGCAGGAGTGAAGCACCTGTGGTTGGAGCCGCCCTGCATTTAGCCGGGCCTGTCAGGATGAGCCCGGGGTGTGCGGAGCGAGACGGGCTGCTGATTCTGCTCCTGAAAACTGCCTGTCTGGTGAATGGCCCTCCAGACAGAACAGAGTTACATGGGCTGTGATTTCTTCTAATGACTGGCTGGGCAGCTTGTTGAGGCTGATTTGTGTGGGGTGATCCAGCGTCAACAAGCAGGAGTCGTGGCCTTACTGGGATGTGGGGGGCATCCAGGCTGTCCAAGTTCGTGTTATATGTGTGTATTTAATATAAGAAAGGAAGGGGTTGGTCACTGTCTCGCTCCAGACTGGTAGCTGGAGAGGCTGGAGACCAAGGCCTTGATCGCCCCCCACACTTCCTGCGGTGGTTGCACATTGGTGTCGCAGGAGTGTTGTGACCTGGATCTCGGTTAGGGCAGCGAGATGTCAGGCGTATCCTGTGTCAGTGACCTCAGTATTTGTGCAGTTCTGATCTGTTGGCTTGGGAGTTCCCCTCCGTCTCATGGGAGCCCAGGACCTCTTTTTGTCACCTCCTCCTTCTGACATGTGGCACATGGGGTCACATTCATCTACGTCCAGCTCATAGTGCTTTGTGGCTCTCCCTTCCCGCTTGTAGGCAGCATTAGTGCCCTCGCATCTACATCAGCTGCTGGGCCCCCTTTCTAATTAATTTGGTTTAGGTTTTTATCACTTGTGATCAATCCCGACTCATGGCAGTTGGTCCGGGAGGGGGTTTTCAATCATGTATCCTTGTTTCACTCGCTGTCTCTCTAGCATTCACAACTCTCTTGCCATTTGTTCTCGAAAGCTCATCAACACAATTCCAGCCATGCAGGCCCTGCCTGCTTTTTCCACAACGTCCTGAGGATGGCTGGAGAAAGCCCCAGCGCCCCGGCCCCGGCAGGCCAGAGCCGAGCCCAGCCCACACCACCACCAGGTCTTCCCGGGACCGAACCTCCCAACTCAGACCTCTTGGCCTGCTCCTTCCTAATTCCTGCCTGGCCCATTTGAGGAAGCAGAACCATCTTGGGCTCAGAGCAAACACCCAGGTCACCCCTAGAGACTCTTTCTTTCACACCCCTCATCTGCTCAGCAGATTTGCCAGCAGCAACCCTGTTGGCTCTACCTACAGGATCTGCTCTCCTGTTCCTCCTCCACTGCCCCTCTCCCCTCTGTCCTGGGTGACTTCAGGAGCCTCCCACGAGGTCCCTTCTTCCACGAGTGTCCCTTTTAACCTGTTTTCTACACAGCAGCCAGTGCATCTTTTAAAAATATGAATTCAGCCTTGCACATTCCTGGTTTCCAGCAACTCACATCACACTGAGGATAAAAGATCGTTCCCAACC